GCTCAGCTAGGAGAGCATCATCTTGCTAGAATTTGCAAGGCTTAATAAATTTGTTGCTGCAATTTGCAAAGGCTCTCCAGGATAATCATGATGATGATTTCTTCTTGCCCATGACTCTCCAAGGCTTGAGGTGGGACAAAACAGAGCAAAGCACCCAAAGCCATTCAGACACATTAAGTTAAAACACATTAAAAATCACATCAAAATCATCTAACATAAAATTAAAAATACACCAATTTAAAATTCATAATTTAAAATCAACTGGATAGACCTGCTGGAAGAGATAGTTCTTTTACATTCTTTTTAATTCAGACAGTGTATTAAGCTGTTGAACCTTTTCTGGCAGGTCATTCCACAGTCTATGGGCAGCTGATGGAAATGTCCTTTTGATGATAGTTGCCAGTCTAGTTCTGGCTAGTTGAAGTAAATGTCCCCTAGAGAACCTGAGTTTATGGGACAGATTATGCAAGAGGAGGCAATCCCATAGGTAACCTGTATTTAGCTAGCTTCTTCCTTCCATCCCAGGCAGTGATGTCAGGGCTCACCCTCTGCCCTACTATATCCACCTTATGTCTAGAAGTGTTAAAGCTTGATTAAATGTTCCTTAGACTGTCTTCCAAAGTGAGAAGGAATAGTCCTCTCATTCCCTCTTGATCCAGAAACTGCTCCTTTGGCTAAGATTTCTTTTATAATTTCCTATCAGAATATATTCTGTGTTTCTGTATGTTTGAATGACAAATTCTGAGAAACTGTGGTTGATACTTCATGCATAACACTTAATGACAGTACCAGGTACCATCCCTATGTCTCAGATTTTGGCTTGAAAACCTCAGACCTGTCTGGCAGCTCCATAACAGTTTCCCAGACCAGCCTTACCATTACCAGAGTGAAGCAGCTGCATGAGGGAAAGATACTGGGGAAGGGGTTTAATGAATAATGAAAGGGTTTTGAAGTACAGAGCTAAAACTGGTCGTGTGCTCCCAGAGGTACCCTGCTGTTTTCAGGTGCCCTTGCAAAGTATCATATTGACAGTGATGAAACACAATTCATCTGCCCATCCAGCTTTTGTACTTGGAAGTGTGTGTGTGTGTGTGTGTGTACCAATCTGTCCCTTGCTGGTGGCTCTGATGTCAGTGAGGTGGGAGATTTAGGGCCTTTGCAGACTTCCAGAAATAATGCAGCTTGAGACCACTTTAATTCCCCTGGCTCAGTGCTAGGGAATCATGGGAAGTATAGCTTATTGTGGCACCAGAGGTCTCTGACAGAGAAGGCTTAATGCCTCAGAAAAAAAATACAATTCCCATGATTCCTTACCACTGAGCCAGGGCAGTTAAAATGGTCTCAAGCTGCATTATTTCTGGCAGTCTGAATACTAAAGGATCTATCTAAGGTTCTGAAACTATTTTGGGAATAAGGTACAGCACCCTGGACAGTTCCTATGAGGTTTTGACTAAAATGCAGAGCAGATTCTCTGTCTACTGACACACTGCAGTAGCTACAACATTGTTCCCATGTTTCCTTACCAATAATTTGCCACTTTTCTGCCCTTATTCATCAGCCTCCACTTTAACTATGCATGGTTTCATTTATGACTGAGATGCGGAAGGTTCTGGAATATTTTGAAATAAAATACAGAACTTTCTACCCAGTTAGAAATAATTGGACAGAGTGTCTGTTCATAGGCTAATCCTCCATGCCTCATTATCCAATACAACAGATTTTGAGATCACTTTTATTCTTAGCACACTAGAAAGCAAGGAGGAACAGCAGTGGTTTAATCGCTGACTGAAGTGCCAGAGCAAACATTAAAGAAGTGAAATACTTGGCTGCTGAAAATCATGTGGGAGTTTGAAAAGGACCCCTCTTTGAAAAGTTAGGGACAGAAAGGGTTGAGCATTAATAAGGGAGGGGAAAGAAAAGAAAAAGAGAAAGTATGATAGAAAAGACAGAGAGTGATACAGAAGTAACAAGGGTGGACAAGACAAAAACTGTAAGAAGGGAAAGGTTTAATATGAGAATAAAATAAGGTAGTGGAGGAATATGGTGAAAGTAAAGTGGAACAGACAGAATAGGAGAAAATAAAATCTGTGGAACACCCATACCTACAAACTAAATTTTTATGTAACTTGTCCTGATCATTATTGTCTAAGAACATAGTAAGAGCCTTGTTGGACCTGGTGAAGAATATATCTACCTTGACATTGTTTTTCCAGTAAAGGCCAGATTGACCATAGCAGCAGACTGGGTTAGGTGGCCCTTGTGGTCTTTTCCAACTCTATGATTCTTTGATTCTATGAGACAAATTTGCTTGGGAAGCCTTCAAACAGGGCCTTAAAGTGATAGTTCTCAAAAGTCCAATCCAAAAATATCTGATATTCTGACAATTAGTGTTTTCTGAAAATAGAAGTTCCATTTTCCACTGATAGACCAACCTTCCATGATTATAATGGGACACATAATGGGACTTATGGAAATCAGTCCTGATGCACATTGCATGTGTCTCAATGCACATCAGGCACCAACTGTGCATTGAACATACTTGCTGGTGTCTTCTTACACATCTTGGAAATTCACTAACAGAGTTTATTAATATTTCTGCTATGTAGCTAAGTATACATAAAGTTATATAATGTAGAGAGTGATATAGGATTCTGATGATTATTATATTTGTATGCTGCCTATAGCCTGCACATACCTAACTTCTTGGAAGTGTACCTGCAATAGACACAGCAGTCTGTTTCCTATCACTCAGCAGGTGGGACCAACACAGTATGGGAGAGGGCCTTCTTTGCTGTGGCACCCCAGTGATGAAATAATCTCCCCTTGGGGTCATGACTGACACAGTTGTTGATTTCATTCTGATACCAAGTCAAAACCAGGTTAAGGCATCTGATTTCTTTCACAATGTACATGTTTTCAGCTCCTTTAACCTCTTGAATGTTTCAACTTATTAACTTGTTTAATTAATTTAATTTACTTTATTTAATTACTTTATTATTGCTGTCATCACTATATGCCTTTAAGTCTTTTCTGACTTATGGTGAGCCTAACGCAAACCTATCATTGGGTTTTCTTTGATCAGAGGAGGTTTGCCATTGCCTTCCCCTCAGGCCGAGAGACTGTGACTTGTCCAAGTTCATCCAGTGGGTTTCCATGGCTGAGGAGGGAATCAAACCCTGGTCTCCAGAGTCATAATCCAACACTCAAACTACTACACCACACTGGCTCTTATACAGGACCCAAGATGGCTTTGTTAATATGTTTCAGTTTTAGAATCATAGAATCATAGAATCATAGAGTTGGAAGAGAC